ACTCAAAGCTCAAAGGTAGCAGAATGGAAGGAAACAATAAAGATTAGGGATGAAATAAATGAAATAGAAAACACACGAGGCATGGCTGTTCAAGCCTGTAATCCCAGCACTTTGGGAGGCTGAAGTAGGTGGATCACCTGATCCCAAGAGTTTGAGACCAGCCTGGGCAACACAGTGAAACCCTGTCTTTACTATTACTACTACTAGTAGTAATAATAATACAAAAAATTAGCTAGGCACGGTGGTATGCGCCTGTAGTTCCAGTTACTTGGGGACTGAGGTGGGAGAATTGCCTGAGTCTGGGAAGTCAAGGCTACAGTGAAGCATGATCACACCACCAGACTCCAGCCAGGGTGACAGAGTAAGACCCTGTCTCAGAAGACAAAACAAAACAAACACAAAAATAGAAAACAATAAAAAAAAATCACTGAAATCAAAAGTTGGTTCTATGAAATAATCAACATAATTGACAAACCTTTAGCTAGGTGGAAAAAGACAAGAAGAGAGATGACTCAATTATTAAAATCAGAAAATTTAGTGAAGGTGGAACGCAGTGGAGCATTCCACCTTCAATTCCACAAAAATAAAAATTATTATGGAGAGCAAAATGAGCAATTATACACTAACAAATTAGAGAAATTTTAAATTCCTAGAAAAACAAAATCTACCAAGACTGAATCACAAAGAAATAGGTAAACTGAATATAGCTTTCTATACTAAAGAGATAGAAAGAGTAATAATAATAATAAAAACTTTCTTGACAAAGAAAAGCCTGGATCTGATGTCCAGGTGAATTGTACAAAACATTTAAAAAGACAACACAAATCCCTCTCAAATTTTTCAAATAATTGGAGAAAACAGAACATATTCTACCTTATTGTATGAGGCTAGCATTGCCTTAATACGAAAACCAGAAAAGATATGAAAAATTTAAAAAACTACAGACCAATATTTATTATGAATAATGATGGAAAATCGTCAGCAAATTTCTAGCAAACTGGGTTCAACAATACATTAAAAAGATTACACACCATGACCAACTTGGACTTATTTCTGGAAGTCAAGGATGGTTCAACATATGAAAACCAATCAATATAATACAACACATTAACTGAATGAAGGGAAAAGCTCACACACTAATTTCAACTGATGCAGAGAAAGCATTTGAGAAAAATTAAAAATGTTCATGATAAAATACATTTAAAAAATTAGAAAGAGAAGGTAAGTACCTTAACATAAAAAAAATCCATCTGTGTAAAACACACAGCAGATATCATATGAAATAATCAAACACTGAAAGCTTTTCCTATATAATCAGGGACAAGCTTACAATGCCTGTTTTTACCACTTCTATTCAATATTGTAGTAAAAATTCTATTTGAAGCAATTAGATAAGAAAAAGAAACACAAGCTATCCAAATTGAAAAGGTAGAAGCAAAACTATCTCTATTTGCAGATGATGATTACATGTAGAAAAACCCTAAAGATTTCACAAAAATACTCTGAGAGGCAATAAATGAACTCAGCAAAGCTGCAGAATACTCGTAAATACACACGCACAATAAAAAACCAGTGGCACTTCTGTACACAAACTATGAACAATCTAAAATAAAATTAAAAGAATTCTACATATAATTGCACAAAAAATAAAATACTTAATGAGTTAATGTATTAAGCAGGTGAAATACTTGTAGAGTGAAAACTGGAAAACATTGCTAAAAGATGTTAAAGAAGACCTAATAAAAGATATTCCATATTTATGGCATGGAAGTCTTAATATTGTTAATACGTCAATACTACTCTAAACAATCTATAGATTTGGTGCAGTCTCTTTCAAAATCCCAATGACCTATGTTCTTCTTTTGCAGAAATGGTAAAATTCATATGGAATCTCAAGGAACTCCAAATACCCAAAACAATCTTGAAAAAGAAAAAAAAGCTGGAGGACTTATACTTCCTCATTTCAAAACAGTACAAAACTATAGTGACCAAACACCCGTGGTTGTGGCATAAAGCAGATATACAGACCAAGGAAATCAAATAAAAAGCCGAGAGACATAGCCTTGCACGTACAATGAAATGATTTTCAACAAGGATGCCAAGACTGTTCAATGGGGAAAATATGCTCTTTTCAACAATATGTGCTACAGAAACTGGACATACCAATACAAAAAGAATGAAATCAGCCTCTTCTCATGCACCACATACAAAAACTAACATTAAATGGGTCAACCACCTAAATGTAAAAGCTAAACCTTTAAAACTCTTAGAAGAAAACATAGAGCATAAGCTTCATGACACTGGATTTGCCAATGATTTCTTAAATATGACACCAAAGACCACAGGTAACACAAATAATAATTAAGAAATTGAACTTCATTATGAAATTTTAAAACCTTTGTGTATCAAAAGACACTATCAACAGAGTAAAAAAGAAACCCATAGAATGGGAGAAACTATTTCAAAATCATAGATTTCATAAGGAATTAATATCCAAAATATAAAGACAACTCCACAACAGCAATGAAAACCAAACAGCACAAGACTTATGTAGACATTTCTCTGAAGAAGATATGTAAATGACCAATAAGAACATGAAAAATGTTCAACATCACTGATTATTAAGAAAATCAAAACCACGGCAAGATACCACCTCCCAACCATTAGGATGGCTGCTGTAAAAAAATAGAAAAATTGCAAGAGTTGGCAAGGATGTGAAAAAATTGGGACCCTCGTGCACCCTTGCTGGGAAAGTAAAATGGTATAGCCATTATGAAAAACAATATGGTAGTCCCTCAAAAAGTTAAAGAAAGAACTACTACATTACTACATGATTCAGCAATTTCATGTGTGTATATACCCAAAAGAATTGAGAGTGGGACATTAGTACAGTCATATTTATAGCAACATTATTTACAGTAGGTAAAATGTAGAAGCAACCCAAATGTCCATTGATGAATGAACAGATAAGCAAAACATGATATATACACACAATGAAACATTATTAAGCCTTAATGGCAGATAATTCTGACATACACTACAATGTGGACGAACCAGGGGGACACTATGCTAGATAAAATAAGCCAGTCACAAAAGACAAATACTGCATCATTCCACTGATGTGATGTACCTAGATGAGCCAAAAAATCTTAGAGCCAAAGTAGAATGTTGGTTTCCAGGGACTATGGTGAGGTGAGAATGGGAAGTTAAAGTTTAATGTTTACAGAGGCTTCATTTTAGAAGATTTTTAAAAGAGTTCTTGAAATGAATAGGAATGATGGTTGCATAACAAATGTAAATAATACTACTGAACTGTACACTTAAAATGATTAAGATGGTATACTTTATGATATATGTATTTTATTTGAATTTTAAAGAGAAATTTAAAAAAAGGGAAGTCTTTTCACCAAAAGGTACTGAAATAACAGCATATCCATAAGAAAAATATGAGTATCTACTATTACTTTATACAAAAAGTAAACTGAAATTGGTTTATATACTGAAATGCAAAAGGTGATTTCTCCCCAGTACTGGGGGTGCTCCTTTCCTTCAACAGTGACATAATCTGTTTGTTCTAATTCAGTAACTGCTATATCCATCTTTATTAATCAATTACTCGCCCTCACCCAGGCCTTCCTCATTGAGGGTCACCAATCATGAGGGCTGGGCACAGTAGTAGAAATGGGCCACTGAAAAAGTTCATTAGGGTTCACAAATTCTAGCAATTAATCATGGCCTTCCATATTCAATAACCCAAACAAGGTGGCGGTAGAAGCAACAGATTAGAGTCACCTCTTTGTGTTGTCACTGATGGTGTCACCTAATGATGAAACCAGCGAGGTTTCCCAGATGGTAGAGTTAATTTTAAAAAACAAACAGACAAAAAAACCAGTGGTTGAGATATTTTATGGAGAAATCACGGACATAGAGACCCGATCTCCCTGAATCCCTTCCCCTGTCCTGAATTTCTCAAATATCCTCCTCCAAATGGAGTGTTTCCTCTGAGGAGCAGCTGCATGTAATGCTCACACTGTCTGCTAAAGATGTGTAGGCCACAGTGCAGATAACATCATCTGTCTAGCAATTTTCTCAGCCACATCTTCCAAAGCCTATCTCACCACTTAAAAATGCCACCAAGTTGAGACCAAGGACATGAAATGTGCATTGAGTGTTTTGTCCATTAGCCCACTACTGGGGTCCCACTTGCTGTGAACAGTGTGGCATCACCTAACTACAAGTGAACCAGATACTAAGCAAGGCAGAGAGTAGTGTACGGTGCCACCATGGTGTGGCCAGAATCTTCCAGCTTCACAGAACGGCAACTCCATCATGATAGTTATTGATTACCACTGCATGCCAGTGGCGGCCACCAGGTGGCAGAAGAGGACCAATGTATTGTATTTGCCAGACAAGGGCAGGTCCTACCCCCAGAGCTAAGGATCCCTGTCACCTTTAGAGAGAGATCAACTGCTGAGAGGGACCATAGTCCCCACAGGCCATTTTACTCTCTGTGGCACTCAGGTGAGGCTTAACTTTTGAGCCTATTGTGTTAGTGGCAAGATTACCATCTCCAGTCCAATAATGGATTGAGGCAGTGATGTCGGACACCAGAGCTAGAGGGCCCAGTCACACACTTTGTTCCATGTTGTCTCACCTCATATACATCCTTCCCATGGCATCCACAAGGGCAACAAAAATGTCTCACGAGGCTGCAGTAGTGGGTATCAATAGCTTGTTGCCCCACAGAGGAGTGTCCTTAATATACTAGTCAGTTGTCACCAACCAGGCAGCTTGCTGGCTGTTCCCAACAATAGGTGAGAAGGGCATGTCTTGTTCTTACTAGCACTGATTAAGGTAAAGGTGATGGTTGGGCTATGGGCTCCTCCTGCAGTAGCTCCTCCAGAGTTGTCTCTGGGGCCAGGTGGCTGCTGCCACCAGGTGGACACCAGCACTTTTAGTTTTCAGTAAGCTGAGCCCCAGCATTCTCATGGATTTCTGGCGGGGGTGTTCTCCAGAGGGTCAAAAGCTGACCTTGTGAGTAATCAAGATAGGTACAAGAAGGCTCTAAAGGTGAGGTCCAACTTACTTGTGTAAAGAGAATTACCTATGAGACCAGACTTGCCCCATGAAGTGTTCCACTTCCATTTAATATGAGAAATCTGTGCATTTTCAATTCTGTCTTTAGTACACAAGGGGACCAATGCAAGATGGGAATATCTGGGTGCAATGATAACTAGGAGTTTTCTCTAAGGTTTAGGTGTAGGACAGCAGCGGTATCTCAAGCAGAAGGTAGCAGGGAGCCACACCCTTGAAATCAGTGCCCCAAGGGGTGTGATCTGGGCAGAGGCTGCCTCCCTTTGCTGCAGGCCCCATACAGCATAGATAAAAGTAAGATATACCTGTAGTTCCCAAAAGCCGTGGGGTTTACAGACCCAAATTAGGGGGCTGCCAACATGCCTATTAAACTATTTCCATTGTACCTGCTGCCCAAGTTACTCCCCACCAGGTCCCACCCCACCCTCCAAATAAATTTGGTGACAGATTTTCTTTGTCAGTTTGTACACAGAGCTGACCAAAATACCAGGGTAAGTCATGTTTCACCTGCAAACTCCAAACAGTCCCACTAAGTGCTAGGCTTTCTTTTAAAGTAGTGAGGTCTGTAGAGTGGGTATATTTCCCTTTACTGTCTCAGGAGAGGGTCTTTGAGCCTCTGTCCACATAGCTCCACAGACTTGACTTAGATATCTGGCCTCTGTATCATCTTAGGACTAATGAGCCACTCCTGGGCTTTCCTATAAGGCAGAGTCTACTCCAAAGCAGTTGCCAGCTGTTCTTTATTGGAGCTTATCAGTAGAATCTCATCAATGCAGTGGAATCACATCAGGTTCTGCAAGGAGAAACTCATTCTACATTTTGGTCCCTCTGTTTGTAGCAATATAGGAGAATTTAGTGCCCCTATAGCAGGACAAAAAACAGGTTTAGGAGGTTCGGGTGACCTTTGAGGGAAACTGATTATTGACACTTGGTGCCAAAAAGATTGGTGAAAAGCACTCACTAGCCATGCCCCAGACAGTGTACTGTCAGTTGAGCAGTTGATTTAACTGCAGACACAAAGTTTGCAAGAGTCAGAGCTAGTGCCAACAACTGATTCAATTGGCAATGATCCACTGTGGATGGAAACATCCACTTCAGATTTCCACTGAGACAGAAACAATCTTCTAGTATGTTAAGTCCCTGACTGGTGGGACTTTATTTTTTACAAATAAGGCAAATATTCGTCCAATTAATCAAATGGTGGCATTGACCTATATGATCTCCACTATACATTACTGTACTTACATTCAGCAATTCAAAGGTTATTTGATTTTGGGGGCATTTTGGACACTAGGACAATTATTGACATTTTTCACAATCATCAATCACATCTTCTGTAGAATGCATTTAAGTAATTCCAGATGATGCATAAATTATGGCACCTAACTGCTTTGAATAAAATGGCTAAGAAAAATGTGAGAATAAAACATCCTTTTCTAGGTGATACAGTTTGGCTCTATCGCCCCCAAATCTCAACTCGAATTGTATCTCCCAGAATTTCCATGTGTTGTGGGAGAGACCCAGGGGAGGTAATTGAATCATGGGGGCTGGTCTTTCCTGTGCCATTCTCATGCCAGATGGTAAGTCTCATGAGATCTAATGGGTTTATCAGAGGTTTCCACTTTTGCTTCTTCCTCTTTTTCTCTTGCCACCACCATGTAAGAAGCGCCTTTCATCTCCCACCATGATTCTAAGGCCTCCCCAGCCATGTGGAACTGTAAGTCCAATTAAATCTCTTTTGCTTCCTAGTCTCAAGTACGTCTTTATCAGCAATGTGAAAATTACCTAATACAGTAAATTGGTACCAGTAGAGTGGGGGCATTGCTGAAAAGATACCCAAAAATGTGGAAGCAACTTTGGAATTGGGTAACAGGAAGAGGTTGGAACAATTTGGAGGGCTCAGAAGAACACAGGAAAATGTGGGTAAGTTTGTAGTCCTAGAGACTTATTGAATGGCTTTGCCCAAAATGCTGATAAGCAATATGGACAGTAAAGTCCAGGCTGAGGTGGTCTCAGATGGAAATGAGGAACTTATTAAGAACTGGAGCAAAGGTGACTCTTGTAATGTTTTAGCAAAGAGATTGGTGGCATTTTGCCCCTCCCTTAGAGATTTTTGGAACTTTGAACTTAAGAAAGATGATTTAGAGAATCTGGCAAAAGAAATTTCTAAGCAGCAAAGCATTCAAGAGGTGACTTGGGTGCTGTTAAAGGCATTCAGTTTTAAAAGGGAAGCAGAACATGAAAGTTTGGAAAGTTTGCAGCCTGACTATGCAAACATACACACACAAAAAGCCCAAAAAACAACAACAAAAAAAGCATTTTCTGGGGAGAAATTCAAGCTGGCTACAGAAATTTGTATAAGTAGCAAAGATCCTAATGTTAATTCCCAAGACAATGGGGAAAATGTCTCCAGGCCATGTCAGAGACCTTCAAGGCAGCCCCTCCCATCACAGGCCCAGAGGCCTAGAAGGAAAAGTGGTTTAATGGGCCAGGTCCAGGGTCTCCAAGCTGTGAGCAGCCTAGGGACTTGATGCCCTGTGTCCCAGCCACTGCAGCCATGGCTGAAAGGGGCCAATGTACAGCACAGGGTGTGACTTCAAACAGTGGAAGCATCAAGCTTTGGCAGCTTCCATGTGGTGCTGAGTCTGCAGGTGCACGAAAGTCAAGAACTGAGGTTTGGGAACCTCCACCAAGATTTCAGAAGATGTATGGAAATGCCTGTATGTCCAGGCAAAAGTTTGCTGTAGGGGTGGGGCCCTCGTGGAGAACCTCTGCCAGGGCAGTGCAGAAGGGAAATTTGGGGTTGGAGCCCTCACACAGTGTCCCTACTGGGGCACTGCCTAGTGGAGCTGTGAGAAGAGGGCCACTGTCCTCCAGAACCCAGAATGGTAGATCAACAGCTTGCATCATGCACCTGGAAAAGCTGCAGATACTCAATGTCAGCCCATGAAAGCAGCCAGGGGGGTGGCTGTACCCTGCAAAGCCACAGGGGCGGAGCTGCCCAAGACCATGGGAATCAACCTCTTGCATCAGCGTGACCTGGATAGGAGATAATTTTGGATTGAAAGAAGATAATTTTGAAGCTTCAAAGTTTGATTGCCCATGGGAGTTTGGATTTGCATGGGCCCTGTGACCCCTTCGTTTTAGTCAATTTCTCCCACTTGGAATGGCTGTATTTACCCAATACCTGTACCCCCACTCTATCTAGGAAGTAACTAGTTTGTGTTTGATTTTAGAGGCTCACAGGCAGAAGGAACTTGACTTGTCACAAATGAGACTTCAGACTATGGACTTTTGGGTTAATGCCAAAATGAGTTAAGACTTTGGGGGACTGTTGGGAAGGCATGATTGGTTTTGAAATTCAAGGACATGAGATTTGAGGGGGCAGGAGCGGAATGATATGGTTTGATTATGTCCCCACTGAAATCTCAACTTGAATTATATCTCCCAGAATTCCCATGTGTTGTGGGAGGGACCCAGGGGAAGGTAATTGAATCATGGGTGCTGGTCTTTCCCATGTTATTTTCTCACAAAATCTGATGGTTTTATCAGGGGTTTCCATTTTTGTTTCTTCCTCATTTTCTCTTACCACCACCAGGTAAGAAATGTCTTTTGTCTCCTGCCATGGTTCTGAGGCCTCCCCAGCCATGTGGAACTGTAAGTCCAATTAAACCTCTTTTTCTTTCCAGTCTCAGGTATGTCTTTATCAGCAGCATGAAAATGGACTAATACACTAGGCATAAGAATGACACGATGGACTTTGGGGACTCAGGGGAAAGGGTGGAAAGGGGGTGAGTGATAAGAGCATACAAATTGGGTTCATTGTATACTGCTTGGGAGATGGGTGCACCAGAATCTCACAAATCTAAGTTACTGAAGAACTTACTCATGTAACCAAATACCACCAGTTCCCCCAAAATGTATGGAAATAAGAAAATAAAATCTAAAAAATTATTTGTTGTGTTTCTAATTACTAATATATAACATATTTTTGTGCCCCTACAATGATTACAGTTAATAATCAGCACAAAGGAACTCTTAAAGAACATATTTTGCCTCTAGAACAAGCCTAATGCCGTTCTGTAGGCAGCTGGGAGGTTTTGTAGCTATTCCTTAAGTAATGTATTTGTTACCTACTCATGAAGTCATTAAGTAACTATTGATATCTTAGAAATTAGAGCTGGGAAAGTCTTTAGACCTATTAAATGAGAGCGACTTGTTTTATGTGAGCACATATTCACCATCCCTCTCTAACCTTTGAATTACTCACCCATTGTCTCACACCTTCCTGGAAGTATCTGTTCCCTTTCCTTGTCTCCTTTTCTGTGGTCCTCTCTGTTCCTCAAATCCAAACCAGGTCAGGCTGTGAACTGAAGAGATACCAAGATTTTCCCTGTGCAGCTTTCTGCTGGATTCTTCCTAGAGGAATGTATCAGTTACTGCCAGATTTAGTTTTGGGTTGTGGCATCACTTTTCATCTTTTTCCATCAGAGTAAGAAAAAAAATACTGTACTTTCTTTACAAGAGTGAGAGATCTGGGTCCAACTTTAGCAAACTAGTGCTTGTTGAAATGAAATACCTCAACAAGCTTGAGGGAAGTAATAAAGAAGTCAGTTTCCTCATTTTGATTTCACGTGATAATAATGAGTACTCCTTATGGAGAACTGTCAAGATCTGATGGGGCTGGGCGCAGTGGCTCATGCCTGTAATCCCAGCACTTTGGGAAGCCAACACAGAGGGAGTGCTTGAGTCCAGGAGTTCAGGATCAGGCTGAACAAAATAGCAAGATGCTGTCTCTGAAAATATATATATATATATATATATACATATAATTTTAAAATATCTAATATAGTAATAATACACAGTGAAGGGCTTTGACAATGAAATTGTGCTATGCAGATGCACACTATGATTATATATCAGGTAGAGAGAGGTAAGCTTGATGAAACAGGAAGGAACAACTTCATACATCAGACTGACCTTCCTGGATAAGGTTGCACATGACATCTCCATGGAGTCACAGATGCTTCTGAAAACTGGAAATAGGAGTCTTGCAACCAAATCTGGGAAAGACATGAGCTGAAATCAGCCTGATCACTGCTAAATACGAAATCAGATCACTGCTAATTATGAAAACTTGTCACAACATTTTGTTAGTGTAAGTTCTAAGCCTAAAATAAATTAAGTCATTGAATTCATTCTGATAATTGTTTTAAAGGGAGACTGAAACAGGTCTCTGGCACCCTTTCTGTTTCAGGTTATTTTAATTGAGAAGAAGGGGGACCATGTTACTAAATCAAACCCGCTCCATCAAATTCTCTATCCCTTCCTTTGTCACTCTCAGATGACAGTGTCTCTCTGTAGGGCTTTTTGCCCCATGTTAGAAATGGCGTACAAGTTCTCAGGATGAGCTGGTCAGGGGATGCCTGCACTGCTTTTCCTCTCCCAGTCCCACAGTGGAATGTCATCCCATTGGTCATTCAGGAGTGGCAGCCTGTGTTATCTCAGAGTTTTCTAAGTGGCAATCCCAAAGGACTCCAGAGCGGGGCTGGCTTTGGGCAGGGAGAATAGAGGACATTGGGCTAGAAGGGGAGATGTTGTAGGGGTTCATGAGGCCATTAAATTGGTAGCACATTGCCAGGCACGCTGACTATAATCTCAGTGCTGTGGGATGCCAAAGCAGGAGGATCACCTGAGTCCAGGAGTTGGAGACAAGTCTGGGCAACAAAGCGAGACCCTGTCTCTACAGATAAAACTTAAAACTTAGCTGGGTGTGGTGGCGTGTGCCTATAGTCCTAACTACTCAGAGGGCTGAAGTGGGAGAATCACTGTAACCCGGGAATTCAAAGATGCAGTAAGTTATAATTGTGCCACTGCACTCTGGCCTAGGTGACAGAATGAGACCCTGTCTCTAAAAAACATTTTATTTCTATTTATTTATTTATTTTAAGATAGAGCCTGCCCAGGCTGGGGTGCAGCAGTGCAATCTTGGCTGACTGTGATCTCTGCCTCCCAGGTTTAAGTGATTCTCGTGCTTCAGCCTCCTGAGTAGCTGGGTGACAGGTGCTCATCGCTACCACCATCTAATTTTTTAAATTTTAGTAAAGACGAGGTTTTGCCGTGCTGACCAGGCAGGTCTCAAACTCCTGGCCTCAAGTGATCTGCCCACCTCAGCCTCCCAAAGTGCTGGGGTTACGGGCACAAGCCTCCATACCAGGCCTAAAAAATATTTTAAAAGGAAAATTAAAATGAGTAACATTTAATGTAAATATATGTACAATTCATTTTCAAATGGCAGTATATAGTATTGTAGTAAATAAAATGCAACTGTATTTGAAAGCATTACCAAGATCCCATGTGCTTTCGTGGCACTTTTTTTTTTTTTTTAATGGAGTCTCACTTTGCTGCCCAGGCTTGAGTACAGTGGCACAATCTCAGCTCACTGCAACCTTTATCTCCTGGGTTCAAGTGATTCTCCTGCCTCATCCTCCCATGTAGTTGGGACTATAGGTGCCCACTACCACGCCGGGCTAGTTTTTGTATTTTTAGTAGAGAGGGCTTTTCACCATGTTAGCCAAGCTGGCTTCTAACTCCTGACCTCAGGTGATCCATTTGCCTCGGCCTCCCAAAGTGCTGAATTACAGGTGTGAGCCACTGCATCCAGCCGTGTGGCACTTTTTGATAACAACATAGGTTATATGAATACATTTTTTTGAATCAATGACCTGTTTGGACTCTGGCCCACCAGTCACTATCTGACTGGCCTTGGGTAATCGTTCATTTTCTCCTCTCCATCATGTGGATAATAACAGTACCTGTCTCCTAAGCATGATTCAAGGATTACATGAGATTATCCATGCAAATTGCAAGGAGTAATAGCTCAAGTGGAAGCTTCTGTCACCCTCACCATCACCTTATTTCTCAGTCACACTTTATGAATGAGTGCTGTGATGGGCAGGTCTGCACAGAGTGTGGATGTTGTAAAAGGATCCTTATCCTTGGGAAGATTGGCAGCCCCTGGTCTGGATGAAGCCTAAGGTGAAACCTTGAATGCTCCCCTGCAAAACTCTTTGTTGACCTTATCCATAGCTTCCTCCCAGTCCAGACATTTACATTATAGATTCTCTCCCTTCTGGGGACAGTGCTCTGCTTCTCTGAGAACAGGTGCTCCTCTTCCAGACCCAGCTGCCTGTTTCAGAGGTCTGGGCTGTCCATCAGAGAATCCTGCCCTTTGGCCATGGTTGACAAGTCCAATGGCAGGAATGAGACTCAAGACCGACCAATGGTATCTCTCCCTGGGATTTTTCACACTGCAGGTTGGCTTGGAACTGGTGACACCCATGTTACCCACACAGGAGAGAAAATTAGTCAGAGAAAACAAAGCACAAATGCAGAGAAAACCTGAGGTGATACAAAACCGAGCATGATGGTGACATTCAGGTTCCTTCATCTCCCTGACTGGGTGGTTGTATTCATCATGTGTTTTAATTTTTTCAGCTCATGCTGTTTGGTACCTTTGAGAGCCTTATAAATTCAGGGAGAGACAGACCATCCCTGGGTTAGCTAATTCCTAAAGATACTACAGTATATTTGGAATCATGCCCATCACATGTAAGTCAACCATTCCCTTTATCTAACCCTCACATACCAAACCAGTGTTACCCCTACCCTAAACGTACCCAGAGACAGGACCAGACAGCCAGACCATATGCCCCAGAGCCTGCTGGAATTATTCAGAACAGCACACCCTAGACAGTGTTTTCCATCCAGCCGCAGCTCTCCCTCGGAAACGGTGACCTCGGTGTTCCCTCGCTTCTGCCTTCACCACCTGACCCAAACCTCGTGTTTCCCCTGCTGAAGCCCTGTGTGCTGTGGCACGCCCCTTCTCTTTGGAAATGTAAGTACAGTCATGCTTAGGTATTTAAGGAGGATTACTTCCAGGACCCCAATGGGTATTAAAATTTGCAGATGTTAAGTCCCCCCTATAAAACGGCACAGTATTTGCATATAACCTATGCACATCTTCCTATACACTTTAAGTCATCTCTAGATTACTTACAATACCTAATACAAAATAAGTGCTATGTAAGTCATTGTTATAGTGTATTATTTATTTGTATTATTTTTCACTACTGAATTTTTTATTTTTTTTCCATTTATTTATTTTATTGCATTTTAGGTTTGGGGGTACATGTGAAGAACATGCAAGATTGTTGCATAGGTTGTTTTTATTTTTTAAAATATTTTTGATCTGCAGTTTCATTGAATTCACAAATGTGAAACCTGCAGATATAGAGGTAAGGGAAGGAGGTAACTGTAATACATTTTTTCAATGGCACCAGCCTTTCTGTGTCATCATTCAGTCACCTTCATGAGTTAAAATCCCACAGGTATCCCAGCACTTTGGGAGACCGAGGCGGGTGGATCACGAGGTCAAGAGATCAAGACCATCCTGGTCAACATGGTGAAATCCCGTCTCTACTAAAAATACAAAAAAAAAAAAAAAATTAGCTGGGCACGGTGGCGTGTGCCTGTAATCCCAGCTCCTCAGGAGGCTGAGGCAGGAGAATTGCCTGAACCCAGTAGGCGGAGGTTGCGGTGAGCCGAGATCACGCCATTGCACTCCAGCCTGGGTAACAAGAGTGAAACTCTGTCTCAAAAAAAAAAAAAACCCACAGGTACATTTTGGGACAGTCAAGCAGCCAGCAAGGTGACTCAGTGTTCCATATGGACTGTGCCTCCCACTGCTCTTGGCTCATTAACTGACTGTGCCAACCAGCAAGCTCTACCTGGGAGGGCACTGCCAGCTGGTGGGGTGCCTGTGCTCTGCCTGCTACTGACTGCCTTGTGCCACCTCTGTTGTGCCCTTTCACGGTTTTCTAGCCTAAACTGTGCTGAGGGAAGGACAGCAGATCTAGCCTTGCACAGGTAGTACCATTGGGAGTGAGAGAGGTCCCAAGTGCATACCTTATTAGACCTATTGACCAGGCAGATGTGAGGTTAAGCAGGCAATTTGCACTAATTAGCACAGTAAAGACTTCCTGGAGAAAGCAGGAGCAGGGAGTGGATGTCCCTAGGGTGCTTTGAGGGCACCCAGACTGATGATCTGCCTGCCAAGACCGTAGACAGGGCTCACCCCAGAGCATTGAGGAGCGGGCATTCAGGCCCAGGCACAACTTTCTTCTTGTAACAAATCTTCCCTTACTCTGGTGGACAAAGTCCTGGGCAAGTGAGGTCCTCCTTGAACAGTCCATCAGGGGCTGATATTGACTGCTGGGCCCCTGAGCATTGGGACCCTCTGAAGATACTCACCCATTTGATTCCAAATTTGGACAGACCCATCTCTAATGGTTGGCAGCTAGGTGTAGGTTATCTCCCCATGGCAAACCATGACTCCCAATATTGCTATATGGGCAAATCTCTTTGTTGTTTTGGCCTTGCTGCTATTGTGATTCGTTCCTTGACCTGGTGGGGTGCAAGGGATCACATCCCTGGAGATGGAAGGTCCAATTCTTCATGAAAGAGGAAAAGAGGAGTAAGAATTCCCATCCTGCTCTCCCTGAGATGCCTGGAGATGTTCCTCAGCCTATGAAAGCTTGTCAATCTTCTGGCCAACACGCTTAGGCACTCCTGACACCACAATTTCTCAATAGAAGAGCCTCTTCTTAAAACTCAATTGCCCCCAAATCAGAACTCTGCCATGACTGCCTTCTTGGACGTAGCTCCCAGGCCCTCTGAGGTTACTTGGGACACCCTAGAAAGGGAGGCCTTTGCCCACAGCAGAGGCCATCAGGACCACCAGGAGCTTGTCAGGTAAGCACTCAGTGGCAAAACAAACACAGCAACAAAAAACTGGTATTGAAAGGAGACCAGAAAAGAAAAGTAAAATGTTTAGCCATCTAGAAATGCAACCTATTCTAAAGATTTAATTTATGAGGAAAAAAAAGAAGAGGGAAGGTATTGATTATGCTTTGCATGGGGGCTGTGGCAGGGACCCTGGGCCCTTCCCCTCCTGCTCTCAGCTTTTCTCAAAATTACTCATTCTATCCAATCAACAACTGACAAATATTTCACTCTTACTAATGTGACTAACATGTGCTACTTAATGAAAATAAATCATTCTTTAAAAAATACCCCACATGCACTCATATGTTCATTATGGTACTATTCACAATAGCAAAAGCATGGAATCAACCTGGATGTCCATCAATGGTAAATTGAAAAAAGAAAATGTGGTACATATACACCATGGGATACTATCCATGGAGCCATGAAAAACAATGAATCATTTCCTTTGCAGTAACATGGATGGAGCTGGAGGCTATTATCCTAAGCAAATTAACACAGGAATAGAAAACCAAATGCCATATGCTCTCATTTATAAGAAAAAGGTAAATATTAGGTTAGCATAGACATAAAGATGGCAATAATAGAGCTGGAGACTACTAGAGTGGGGAGAAACGGAGGGGAGCAAGGTCTGAAAAACTACCTATTGGGTTCTATGCTTACTACCTGAGTGACGAGACCATTTGTACAGCAAACCTCAGTGACATGCTATTCGCCCATGTAATAAAGCTGCACATGCACCCTCTGAACCTAAAATAAAAGTTAAGAAATGTGTTAATATTACGTGGTTAATAACAACATTCTTTTTTTTTTTTTTGAGACAGAGTCTTGCTCTGTTGCCCAGGCGAGAGTGCAGTGGCATGATCTTGGCTCATCGCAACCTCCACCTTCTGGGTTCAAGCGATTCTTCTGCCTCAGCCCCCTGAATAGCTGGGACTACAGGTATATGCCACCATGCCAAGCTAATTTTTGTATTTTTAGTAGAGATGGGGTTTCACCATATTGGCCAGGCTGGTCTCAAACTCCTAACCTGGTGATCCACCCGCCTCCTAAGTGCTGGGATTACAGGTGTGAGCTACTGCGCCCGGACATAACAACATTCTTTCTGAGGTAAATAAACTTAGTTGGTTTTCACCTCGCAATCACACCCGGTATGATAGAATCCACACTTAACTATCTCTTCATTATCTAAAGAAATAAAACTTTTGTTGTCCTGAACAAGAATCCTGAAATCTCATGACGAATGAGCATGTTAAATTTGGAGAGCAAATTTTCTTGAGTAGGTCTAAGATTAATGCTTTTTGCCAGATAAATTAGATTTTACTGATGTTTATTTCACTAATTTCCTTATTCCCTGATAATAAATATTTTAATGCACATTATTTGCCCAACAAATTAATATTACTTTAGTGCAGCAGCTCAGCATTTGCTATGTCTTTTTATAACGTTACCTTTGAAGGAAGGGTTGAGTTTTGACGACTTTGGCCTGGTGGTAAGTTTGGCACAGTTAAGATTTATCTCAGAACCAAATTGCATCCATTCATATAATCTCTGGTGACTACATAAATAGGGCCAGGCCTCTAGGTCCAGAAGCTCCGTGGGAGTAACAGGCATGAGAGTAAAATCAGCTTCTGAATTTCACATCCCCAACTGATGACCAGACATGCATTCAATTACCAGCCTTACCCAGTGTGTTTTTACCAATTTTGTTCAGACTTCTTTTCACACTCCCAAATGATGAGAAGAATAACATGATCCTAATCTAACCAGAAAACACCAATTTCCAAATGAGAAACATTCTCAAAACACCTAACCAGTTCTTCTGCAAACTGCCATAGTCAGCAAAAACAAGCAACACCTGAGAAACAGTCATAGCCAAGAAGAACCCAAAAAGTCATGATCAGTAAATACAACATGGTGTTGAAGCAGGAGCAGCCACGAGAAACAGACCTCTCGGACACCGAACTAGGAAGGAAGAGGTGATTTATTCGTCCTGGAACAAGGCGACATAGTTGTCTAAGCCAAGCTCGTCTAACAAAGAGAAGCTCTACCTTTATATAGGCTTACAACTCTAGATATTACACGTGAAAGGGCCTTGGGCTTACAGCCTTAGAAATTACATGTGAAAGGGTCTTGGGTTTATAGTTTTAGAAATTTCATGTGAAAGGGTCTTGGTCCATAGAGTAGGCGTGGGGTGGGGATTTGATCTTGTTAAATAAAACAGTGCCATCCGGAAAGATTCCCCCATACTATGCCCGCTGTCTATAGGAAGATGATTTAGGAGGTGCTCGTTGGCCAGCCTTTTCTTCTACTGAAATGCAGTGTGGAAGTCAAGAGAGAGGTGATCATAGATGCTTGGGTCTCTTTCCTCACTGTCATGTTGGGATCCTGGACAGAAAAAGAACATTAGGAGTTGAAAATTTAAGTCTACACAAAACCTGCAGGTAAATGTTTATAGCAGCTCTATTCATCATTGTCAAAATTTAGAAGCATCTAAAATGTCCTAAATGAATGAATAAATGAACTCTGGTACATTCAATCAATGGAATTTTAGTAGCAGGTGAAATAAAGGGACTTGGATATATTCAATCATTGGAATTTTATCAACACTTAAAAGAAATGTGCTATCAAGTTATAAAAAACAAAGAGAACCCTTAAGTGCATATTACTAAGTTAAAAAGTCAATATATAAAGACTACATATTGTAAGATTCCAACTATATGACATTCTTAAAAAGACAAAACTATGGAGACAGTAAAAGGATCAGCAGTTGTCAGGGGTTGAGGGGACGGAGTGGTAAGTAGGCAAAATACAGAGGATTTTTAGGGCAGTTAAACTATTCTGTTTGGTAGCATAGTGGTGGGTATTGTCATTATACCTTTCTTAATTAATTGAGATTAACATGTCATGATACATTTCTCAAAACCCAGAGAATGTACAGCACTTAGAGTGAACCTAATGGAAACAATGGGCATTGGGTGATAATGACATGTTAATCATGGTAAATGTACTACTCTGGTTCACGATGTTGAAGGTAGGGGAGACTGCCTGCGTGTGGGGAGGTGTGCATAGGACTTTTGATACTTTCCACTCAACTGTGCTATGAACCTAAAACTACTCAAAAAATGAAGTCTGTCAATAATAATTAAAAATATAGAACAATAGGTAAATCCTAAGCAAGTCTGAATAAAGTACGGACTTCAATTGATAATAATGTATCAATATGTGTTAATTAGTTGTGACTGATGTATCATAGTAATGTAACAGATAAACAGGGAACCCAGGTGAGAAGTGGAACGATAACTATCTTTGCAACTCTCTGTAAATCTAAAAGGATTCTAAAACTTTTTTAAAAAATTAAAAAGGGAAGGTATGAAGGGACGGAGAGAGGAGAGTTCCACAATTTCCCAATGTATGGGTGCATTGCCTCATTTGTGTCTAGAATAATAGCAGTGACTTCCAGATAATTCTTCTCTAATTATGTGTCAGACACTGTGCTTGGGCCCCCTTGGCTCCACATCTGTCCCACAAGGACCTGAGCAGACTTTCTGCCTGGAGTTCTTGTGAAATGGGCCTTTGTGTACTCATGACTAGGAGTTACAGAGCCCCTTGGTCCTGGGAGCATGGGGAGGTGGAAGAGCCTGAACCTACAGGAACGTGCTATGCACTGCATGGCTGGGGCTCCACGTCCTCTGCAGTCTCCCCAGAGCCACTGGAAAAGGAACTCGTTTCCTAAGCTCATGGAGATGTGAAGAAAGCTTGGGGAAACAGCCTCAGCACAGAGCCTCGCATGATGTAAGCTCATTAGAGGAAGCGTGCGTTTCTCCCCGTGGACATCCATAACAGCGTGGGTGGTGTAGGGAGGATCAGGAGCCAGTGACACCAACAGAGAGGGGCTGGCATTGGAGCCTGGCCTGAAGGATGAGGTGGTGTGTGCCAGGTGGAGCGGGACAGGAAGGGGAGCCCAAGGACAGGGAACAGCAGAGGCAAAGGCAGGCAGTGGGAATGGGCACGGAGCATCTGGAAATGGTGGGACAGGGTTTCACTGTGGCCAGATTGCAGTGTGTGTGTTTGTACGTGTGTGTCTGTATCTCTGTGTATGCATCAGTGTTGCTGTGTGTGTCTGTGTGTGTGATTCTGTGTGTGTATGCTGATGAGTATGTGTGTTTGTGCATGTGTCTGTGTCAGTGTGTGGGTCTCTGTGTGTCTATGACTGTGTTTCAGTGTGTGTCTTTGAGTGTGTTTGAGTGTGTGTCAGTGTGTGTTTGTGTATGTCTTCATAGGTGTGTCAGTGTCTATGTGTGTGTCGGGGCGTGTGTACCTGGAAATGAGGTTGGGATGGCAGGACGAGCCAAGGAGGCAACTGCCCCACAGCCTGCTCTGATGCTGTGCCGCTGAGTCTAGTAGGGAAAGAGCAAAGCAGACGCTGGAAAGGGAGTCACATGAAGGAGAAGGGCCCTGGGAGCCAGTGGGGAGTATTTGGTGTCACCTGGCAAAGCTCAGAGAACCATTAAGACCCTCCTATGAGGCAAAATGATTCTGCTCCACTTTATGATAATAGCTTAGCCCAGTAAGAATTCCCGGATTCTACCAGGCCCTGAGAGGCTGGGAAAGAGGGAATTTTTAACATAAATTTCCCTACTGCTAGAATTAGGAAATCCTCTGTTTATGCAGTCACTTCAGATGCTAACAGGAGCTCAGACACTAAGAAGGCTTCCGCAGCTTCAGTCACCCATTCGACAAATATTTATTGAGAGTGGCAGGCAGGAAGAGATGAGACCATGGATGTAGAGAAGCTCACATTCAATCATGAGATCCCCCTTTTCCTGACTCTGTGAACTTGGACAAGCTATTGCATATCTCCAGTTACATATTACTAAGTAAAAAAGTACTATTTTTACATTTTTTTTTTTACCCAGAGTAAACAGGGAAGAGCCTAGAGGAAGCATTTAATGGCGCAGGTAACCCGCCTTTTCACTGGATTACATCCAGCACTTTCCCTGCAGGAACGGGCTCCCTCGGAGGGGTGTGGCTGGGAGGAGCTGTGAGTAAGGTGTCAAAGTAACTGTTATAAAAACCCAGTCAGCCTGGCTCCTGTTGAAGAGTCCACCCCCTTGCACGCTACCTGAGACAGTTGCAGCCTGCAATTCGTTCCTGGGATCGCACTGGACCTGTGTGCTCCGAACAAGGTAAGAGCCTTGCTCCTTTAACAGCTTTATTACATGCCACTGCTTCTCACTCCCCTGAGGGTCTGGAGTTCTTTGGGCCTGCATCCCATCATGGGCAGGTTGGGGGCTGAGCCCCAGGGCTGTGAGAAATGGCTGGGTGTCCCTTGGGCATATCTAGCCTCCTCTTCACTATTTATTGCTGTTCTCTGCCCTTTCATGATTGCCTTTCTCCTCGTTAACCCTAGAAGGAGGCCAGCTTCTAAGGTAGAAATCAGATCAGGATCATTTCCTGGGCCTGCCTGCCTCTTTTTATAAAAATTCTGTGTTTTGTTTTAAATGGAGCACAAATAATATAAATCATCTTATCATCATGCATTATATCAAACTAAATTGGCATCGTTCATAGTTGTTTTTCTTATTCTTTGCCAATGTTTTTAAAGGGCAGAGTAAACATGAAAAGCAAAAGGGATCAACCAGGGTGACAGAAAGGAATAAGGAGATTAATCTGACTACCCATACCAGCTTTGAGACTTGCCCACTATGAGATCCTGAGCAATTTATTTACCTGTCTGAGCCTTAAGAGTCAGCTGTCACCTGGAATGACATACTAATAGTTACTTAGAAGGGCTGTTGTGTGGACTTAACAAGATGGGAATCAAACCCAGGACCAGTACTTAGCACACAAGAGGCGTCGTATAGAAATGGACTTCTCTTCTGCTATTAAGCATGGGTTTTTATTGTGCACATGATCAGATCTGTGCAATTCAGTGTGACATTGATGTTCATCCTATTGGTTCAATGATTTCTCATGATCCGTGTCTTCGATCTTGCGGTGTGAACTATCCGGTTGAAATTCATCTCTCTCCACCCTGGTTCACTTTGCCCAGGCACATCAAACAACCTCCCCACCTCATGCCTTTCCTTTGGCTCTTACTTCCTCCCAAAAAGCTCCCCCACCCCCACAACCCCACCCACCACACCCAAACCCCAGGCATGTTCAACTCTGGGTCAACGTCACCTTCCATAGTGGTTACCACATCCTTTCTCATTTTGGGCATTTGTGTCCATATGGAGTTGTGAAATAGAAATCCAGCCCTTTGGAGCTGGAAGAGAGTTTGGAGCAGTAGCTTGTTTCAGATTAAGTTGAGGCAGAGATGATGGGATAGATTCCCTAATCGATGCCATTTAAATTCTCTCAAAGAGTGGCTTCTAAGCTCTCTCAAACCTGAGGTTTCTTGTTCGTGGTAATATCTTCAACACCTACTCTAGTGCTCAATAAATGCTTGTTGAATGAGTGAATGAAAGAATGAGGAGTGAGCAAGTACAGGAGTCGACGAGTGCATAAATGAGAAATGAGAGTTCGTGAGGCTCCAAAGAGTGGTAGTTTTGTGACACTCAAAACTCAAGTCAAGTGGAAATGTGAGTAGACAGGCTGCTTGTCTAGTGCCTCTAGGAGCCAGAAGCATTCTTGGTTTACTCCGAAATCAGGCAGATACCTGTCAGGGTGGAGGGAGGCCAGTGTGTAGTCCTGCACAGCCGAACTGCTGCCTGCCACTGACTCACCTGCCTTTTGTCAAACAGGTGCCCGCCCAGCTGCAGCCATGAGGATCTGTAGCCTCACCCTGCTCTCTTTCCTCCTACTGGCTGCTCAGGTGCTCCTGGTGGAGGGGGAGAAAAAAGTGAAGAATGGGCTTCACAGCAAAGCAGTCTCAGAACAAAAGGACACTCTGGGCAACACCCAGATTAAGCAGAGAAGGAGGCCTGGGAACAAAGGCAAGTTTGTCACCAAAGACCAAGCCAGCTGCAGATGGGCTGTGACTGAGCAGGAGGAGGGCATCTCTCTCAAGGTCGAGTGCACTCGATTGGACCATGAATTTTCCTGTGTCTTTGCTGGCAATCCAACCTCGTGCCTAAAGCTCAAGGCCCAGAGAGTCTATTGGAAACAAATTGCCCGGAATCTGCGCTCACAGAAAGACATCTGTAGATATCCCAAGACAGCCGTGAAAACCAGAGTGTGCAGAGAGGATTTTCCAGAATCCAGTCTTAAGCTAGTGAGCTCCACTCTACTTGGCAGCACAAAGCCCAGGAAGGAAAAAACAGAGATGTCCCCCAAGGAGCACATCAAGGACAAAGAGACCACCCCCTCTAGCCCAGCAGTGACCCAGACCGTGATCACCAAAGCTCCCGAGTGTACGGAGGACCCAGATGTGGCAAACCAGAGGAAGACTGCCCTGGACTTCTGCGGAGAGAGTTGGAGCTCTCTCTGCACATTCTTCCTCAGAATGATTCAGGACACGTCATGCTAATGAGGTCAAAAGAGAACGGATTCTCTTAAGCGATGTCATGTCATAAGTCCCTCTATATGCTATAAAGCTCTCTACAGTCCCCAACAGATAGGAAGTTTTGTGCTACGTGAGTGCAACAAAATATTTAAACAGATTTTGTAATTTTTGCTTTTGTGTTTTGGAATTTGCTTTATTTTTCTTGGATGTGATAAGTCTTTGAGCTGAATGAGCCAGAGTGATAATTTCAGTGCGAAGAACTTTCTGCTTAATTAACAAAGATAATAAAATTCTGGATGTTTTTCAGAAATACATTCAAACATTGCTTGGTTTCTCTGTGTCTGGTCCCAAATAAACTCATAAAGCCATCCCCATATATTAATGGAAAAACTATCTAAAAAGCAACTTCCAGTTCCCGACCCTTCCCAAGTTCTCTTTCCAGAATCGTTTATGTTTTTATCCATTGATCTGTGGTGTTTTGTGCTTGTTGAAGTGTAGTAATTAGGATCCCTATTTTCAGGTGGGACATCTGGTGCATGTTGTGATTAAATCACTTGTCAGGGACTCATAGATGGTAAGAGGGGAGGTAGGATTGGAACCCAGAAGTTCTGACAGCTGAATCTGCAGGGTTGAGGGACCTCCCCTACTGACTCATGTCAGAGCTGCCCATTCCCTCCCCTATCTGCAGGACCCTTGCCTTGCAGAGTGCATTTTTGGAGAAGAAATGAGCTTCATTTCTTCATTCTTGGAGAAGAAAACCCTAGTTAAGCACAGTGCCCATGATAAGGGCTGTAAAGGAAGCGGGAGAGAGCTACAAGGAAAACCGGAGAGAGGAGGCAGAAGATCTGGGCTTGAGCAGAGCAGGGAAGGTAATACGGGAGCTGGATTTTGGAAAGAGTATCTGTATAAATAAAATGGGGCAAAGTGGAGGCACTTTAGGTATTTGATAACATGAATGAAAGTGAGTAGATGGGAAGTTCCAGATTCTGGGAGAGGTCAGGCGGCTGGGAGGGGATGGGAAACAGGAATGGGACTACCGTTCTTCATTTATATGTTAGTATAAAGGATCTGAAAGTTTTATTTTAAGAGCTGAGGAGAGAGGATGAACTGTCCCCGGTGCCTTGTCACAATTCCACAGCCAGGGAAAAGGGGAGCAGAAGTTGATGAAAGCACAGTTCTTTAGCATGTCTGATGGTGGCAGGGAGGAATGGCAGGTGGGGTAGAAGGAAAGCCTTTTACATTCACCAACCTACCGGGATGTACACTGAGAATGTCAAAGGTCAATCCACAGTGCCACAGCCTCAGAGTGACATTTGGATGTCATCATCATCATCATCAATAAAACTAACACTTACCTGTTTTTATGGGTTTTTTTTTTTTTTTTTTTGAGATAGTCTCACTCTGTTGCCCAGCCTGGAGTGTAGTGGCATGATCTTAGCTCACTGCAACTTCTGCCTCCTGGGTTCAAGCAATTCTCCTGCCTCAGCCTCCTGAGTAGCTGTGACTACAGGCGCATGCCACCATGCCCAGCTGATTTTTTGCATTTTTAGTGGAGACAGGGCTTCACAGTGTTAGACAGGATGGTCTAGATCAAGGTGGGTGGAACACTTATCTCTGAACTGCTATGAGGAAGCACCGTGCTGCGTTCCCCACGGATGGTGCGTTTATTCACTTACTCAACATATAACTTACAGAGCACTGACTCATGCCAGACTGGGTTCTAGGTGCCAGAGATACAGCAATGGATGTACAAGAGATGAGTGCTCTGCCCTCATGGAACTTAGCAGTGGGGAAAGTGATGATGAGCACATGATTACACGTGAGTTAGAGAAGACTATTAAAGCAAGGGACGAGGAAAAGTGATTGAGGGTAATGAGCTTTAGATGGGGTGCTCAGGAATAGCCTCTCTGTGGAGGTGACTTTTGAGCCTAGATCTAAAAAGAGGGATCAAGCCAGGAGACACTCTTCAGTAAGAATATTCCAAACAGAGGGACTAGTCAGAACAACTGCCCTGAAATTGTGGTTAATTTACTTATTCCATCCTATCTGCTTCTTCTCTATGCGAGGAACTCTTCCAGAGGCAAGAAATGGCAACAAAAAAAAAGAGAAAAAAAATCCCTGTCTTCATGGCACTTCTATTCCCATGACAGGGATCATGCTTGGCATGTTCAAGAAATGTCCAAGAGGGTGGTGCCATTCATTGTAGGATGCAGGATGGGGCCTGGGTCCTGACCTGTGAACTCTGCACCAACTCCAAGAGCTCTGAAGCAACATTCCAGACTCTCCCCAAGATCCTTCAAGCCAAACAAAGAAAGGATATTTTCCCTTAAGGTCTACACTGGTTCTCAACCCGGTGGCCCCCTCCTCTACAGATATAACTTAATATAACATGCCCCTGAGATAGAAAACGACTGGTATTCTCTAGGAATCGTAAAACAGTCATCAGGTTTGCTCTGGGCTGGCATGAAAATTGGAGAACAGACCCAAAGCCTTCTTAAACTCCTCCAGGCCGTCAGTTGGTGGTTCTAGTTCACTCCTGGCCTCTGACCACTGGCAGAACTGGAAGGAGTTTTGCCTCCACCATGGACGGTAAGCTGGATATGGCCTCAAGGTTTGCTTCTGCTGATAGATAACCAGTCTCAGGGCCAATTATTTAATCTTCTGAGCAGAAATGAGCTCATCGTGACCATGGGATCATGAAACCCATACACTGTTAAGAGTCCTGAAACACTGACATTGGTCAATATCTCTGAATCTCTTAATACTATGCCAATAGTTAGATAACAGGTATTCAACACAACTGACAATTTCAAGTCCACAGCAGGAGACTGAATTGTAGAAGAAAGTCAAAATTCCCAATGAAAACTCTCTAACTGTGGAGCTTTTTGTTTTCTTTGTTTCTGTAGTGCAAGTGTCCAGAAGCTACTCTTATGGATCACTGACTATGTGCCAGTGGTTTTGCTCCATTGTTCCAGGAATCCCCCACAACCCCGTGTGGTAGGAGTCTCACCCTCATTTTCTAGATGAAGAAACGGAGGCTGAGAGACACTGAAGAACCTGCCTGGGGTTACGAAGTTATGAAATGGCAGAGCCTATAATGAGAATCCCTGACCGGAAGGTCCTAAGCCCTTTCTGCCTCTGAAGTGTGTGATTTTCTTCACTCAGTGACAGAAGAGTGACATTTATGGTCTCTGGATGTGGGCCAGACCTGACAATGAACAAGAGCCCTCAGTCCTTTCCCCATGTATATCCTCTTCTTTGTCTGTACAGAGAGAAAATTCTAGAAGTGAATGCTTCCATTGTATTCAGCCTCCCATCATAGTCACATGCTGAGGGGACATTTTTAGAACACAGTAAAAATAAATACGTAAATAGAGCCTCCACAGACTTTACATTGACTTCTTTTTTTTTTTTTTTTTTTGAGATGGAGTTTCGCTCTTGTCACCCAGGCTGGAGTGCAATGGCGCCAACTCAGCTCACTGCAACCTCTGCCTCCTGGGTTCAATTTCCTGCCTCAGCCTCCCGAGTAGCTGGGATTACAGGCACCTGCACCACTCCCAGCTGATTTTTGTGTTTTTCGTAGAGACAGGGTTTCACCATGTTGGTCAGGCTGGTCTCGAACCCCTGACCTCAGGTGATCCACCCGCCTCAGCAGCCAAAGTTCTGAGATTACAGGCATGAACCACTGTGCCTGACTACTTTGATTTCTATTCAACTTACTGCTATATATTGTCTCCTTAAGAACTTTCTGGACGTGAAGTAGAAAAGCCACCTTTCTCTGTGTGTGTGGACTTTAAGATATGACTTGTTTTGACAGCAAAAGATGGAAATTTTTAGGTAGGTAAGATGTGCTGAAGACTGGCATGTCTGTATCCCCTGAAGCCTCTCAGAAGTGGGAATGTCTCTCTTCTCTTATAAAACTGCCTCTCAGCAGAGAGAGGGAGTCTTCCCTCCAGCATCGCAGCTAATTGTGGTAACTGACAATCACATCAGTGCTGACTTGAATCTCTGGAATCCAATGTATCTCACCTAGCCTCCTTCCCCAGCCTCTCCCCTAAGTTGTTTTTGGCAGAACCAGCAAAGAATGCCAAAGTGTTTGGAGTTGAAATCTTTCAAGCAGATATGACGCTAGCCACCTCTGATGTGTTAGTTTTGGTAATTGCTGTGTACAATGCTCACCTTGAAATGTCTCACTCAAAAGTATTTCATGCAGAAATATGCAAGAAAATCCTTATGAGACTCCCTCTGAAGAATGGGAGGAATAGGGAGAAATTTCTAGAAGTAGGCTGACTTGGGACCTTGAGGTGGGCCATCCAGGGGAAGTTTCCATAGCTGAAAATGTATTATTATTATTATTTTTTTTAAGAACGAGAGAA